AATGGTGAAAGCTTAAAATTTTACTATTGCAGTTATAAGATTGCAATGAAAGTAGCTATATGTGCATTTTATAAAATATGTATTTGGATATCTTTTAATGGGTCCATTGTACATGATTCAAGAATTTTGGCATTCAGAAAACTTTGTGATATTCTGTAAATGTGTAGGAGCATCTTTTTGTTTTTGAAAAAACATAACCTGATACTTTCTAGTTAAAAATACCAGTCAGATTTTGTTGATACTGAAAAATGGGTACATAAAGATTTATTATATCCATTGTTTTTGTGTCTGTTTGGAAATTTTCATAATAAACAATTTTTTTAAAAATTACCCTGTAAATACCACATTCCTGGGATCTAGACCAAATCTAAAGTGCTAAGATTATACATTCAAAAATAGAAAACATATTTGAGCTATCTGAATCCTCCAAAAAGAAAAGTAGTTAAAAATGTTAGGACACCTCGTTGAAAATTAGGTATTACCCCTCTTCTGCAGACTAGAAGAGAGGAAGAAAGCCAATTCTATCTGGTTGGTGCCTACAGGATACCTTTATGTAGATCATCTCAGAAAGCTAAGAAATGTTCCTGTTCAGATGACCTGTAAACATAGAAAATATGCCTCTCGGCTGCATGCAGCGTGGCTTACACCTGTAATCCTAGCACTCTGGGAGGCCAAGGCTTGAGGTCAGGAGTTTGAGACCAGCCCGAGCAAGAGCGAGACTCCATCTCTACCAAAAATAGAAAAAGTTAGCTGGGTATGGTGGTGTGTACCTGTAGTCCCAGCTACTTGGCGGCTGAGGCAGGAGGATTGAGCCCAAGAGTTTAACGTTATGTTGAGCTATGACACCACAGCACTCTAGCCAGGGCGATACAGTAAGACTCTGTCTCAAAAAGAAAAAAAAGAAAAAATATACCTCTCCATATATACCAATGCAATATGCTCTTGGTAAAGGGTATATACAATTTTATAATAATTCCTGAAAATGTTAAATTTATTATTTAATTCATAAACAGAAAGGTCATGCTTATAAGGGCTAACCTTTTAGAGCATAACTGAGTATTAAATATTCCCTGGGAATTTTAATCTGGTTATATCTGTCATACCATTACACGAAAGGAACATGGCTAGCAACATTTTCAGAGATACACTCCAGAACACAAGAAGCTTCCAAAAATGATTCCTACTGCTTCAATTAATGTAGATACCCTCACCCCTACCCCAGTCTTAGAAGAAGAAAAAAATCTTCCTACCACTAATAGGCAAAAGCAAGTTATCCAGTTCATGTTCGTAGTATCAGAGTTCTATCACTATAAAGCAGTAAAGCATCATAAGGTAATACCCACCTTACCTCCAAGTGTGGTACTGAGAACAACATTTACAGGTCAATGGTTCACCAAGAGAAGCTGATTTAGTGTTATATTTTCAAGGGGTTGGTCAAAATTGTATTTATTTGTCTTACAGAAGGAACCCAGAGATTGAGAAAAGTTTACTGGTGGTGTCAGAGGAAACTGAAGAAAGAGAAAACAAAATATAAGTTAGTAAGGGAGAGGAAATATGGACACATGAAACAATATAAGAACAATTAAAAGTACCACCAAAGAAGGAAATTTAGATTAAAATTTATCTATGATCTTAAAGCCACTTTGCAGAAATAGTTGTGAAACAGTAAATTCATTTATTGCTTAATATGGGGTATAAAATGGTTATTGCAAGGTATAACATCCAAGTGACTGAAAGTTCTCTACTCAGTTCACTGAATAGGCATATTGTGACTTCCTACTTTTCCTGGTAAGTTATCGAAACCATATTACTCCTTTACATTTGGGTCCTCTCCTTGGCCTTGTTGGTTTTCCTGTACTGTATGCTGCAATTTCGGGTGTGTAATTTGGTTCGGTTTCCCTAGACAAGTCCCTCAACAATTTAACTTGGGGTTTCTATGACAATGAAACAAAAGTACTTTGGGGCTCCTTGAAAATAGCACTTCTTCCTAAGTAACTATTTAACTTGTTTATAATATACTATGTTTGTTAAATTTAAAGTAGTATTAGATAAAACTATTGTTTTCCATCTTTTATAATCCTTTGAAATCAGAGGATTTTTAAAAAATTAATTATTTATTTATGAGACTTCCTTGTAGTAGAATGCAATCACTTAGAAAAAAAGTACTGGTAAATACCTCGATTTTCAATTCTAAAACTCCATTAATTATATTATCACCTGATATTCATGTTCACTGTAAACAAAGATGGACAAAGTCGCGTCTACTATGTTATACCTAGCTCTGCAGGTAAATATTATCCTAGGAACAATGCACTACTTCCTGTCCATCAGTCTATGGCTAGTCATCTATCCTTCTACTCCTCTCATCTATTTAAAGCTTTGTCTCAACATGACTCTTGTCCTTTCTCTAGTCATGACATCTCAATTCTTCCAGCCCATCGTCCTCATTCTGGTTTCACAAACCTTATTCCTTTGATGCCATTGAACTATTTAATTCATTCATTTCTTTCTTTTTCTTTTAAGAATCTCTGTTTTTTTATTTCAAGGAATCTCTTTTAAACACCTTCTAGCACAAGCAGTAATTCATTGTGTGAAGTCCTTGTCCTTTGTGTTGCAGACTACTGAAAAAGAATTCTCACCAACCTAGATTCTCCGCCGCCATACGTCCTGTATCACTCCTCAGTTTTAGGTATTTCCCACAGTCTACCTTCTCCAGTGCCAAGAAAAAGTCACGAAACAATTCTAATCAGTTCCACTAAAATTCGTGCATTCTAGCCTACCCTTAAACCTTGTGGCTACATGAAAGCTTTCATGTGGTTTCTGCTGACCCTTGTCAACATTCTTCACAGCAGAATTTCTCCACTCTTCTCAAGCTTCCAGCCAAACCGGCTCCTAGGAAGTGATTCACTTTTTATTGCAGGCAATTTTCTAACATGTGTATCTTGGGCTTCCCTCTGTATTTTCACCTTTTCCTGTGTCCATAATTTATTTCTCTTAAGAAGGATTTTTCCTCCTTGTCAAACTAACCATCCCATGTGTGTTCTTTTTTCCATCTCCTGTTTCCTGCAACACATTTTTTAATCAGGTTTTTCAGCTACCATTTGCAACTTCAGTCTCCCTGACTCCACAGGCCTATTATTCATTGCCTGAAATTGGGCACAAACATTCCACTGTGCCAAAAAGAAATCTTAAAATCTTTTTCCTTTCCCAAATCCTCAGAGTTCTTGAGAGAATAGTGTATACTCATTTACTCAACTTCTTACCATCTAGTCCTTCTTTAACCCTCTTTGATTTGGCCTCTGATCTGTTTGTACAATGAAAATAGTTACCTTGAAAGTCACCAGTGATCTTTATGTAACACTTGTTCATTTTTTTATTCAGAAAATATTTACTTTGTGCTTGCTATGCACCAGATATTTGGTAGATACTAGAGGTACTTCTAAGAAAGATAAAATCTTTTTTGTCAGAGAACTTATCATTTAGGTAGGGGGCACAAACAAGTACAGAGAGAACTACAAGCTAGTGGAAGAGTTGCAATTAGTTAAGCATAAGGTAACATGAAAGTAAGAGAGCAATGTCTGACTCAGCCTTTAGGTGGTCTGAAAAACTTTTAGGTAGAAGGTGAGGCTTCTCTTAAAGGAAAAAAAAAATACTCAGGTAAAGAAGAAAGAGAACAGCATTTCTAGCAGAGAAATTACCTTTCAGCAAGGAATCTCAAAATTAATATGCTTTTGATTATCTGCAAATTTAGAAAGGTGAGTGCAGAATTTTGGGGGGAGTGGAGGATAATAAAGCTTTTAGCTGAATTGAGTTTTCAAATTTATATTTAAATTTTTGTGTATAGATAAATTTTGGGGGGTGGGGAGAGAGAGATCTATACTTTTTTACCCGATTCTCACAAATGAATCTGATTTCAAAACATGCAGAGCCACTGTTATGAATGTACTTGGGGACTAGGTTACGAAAGGCTTTGTATGCCAACCTAAGGAGTTTTAAATTGTATTTTGAAGATACTAGTTTAAAGGAATTAAAGAAATACAATGGCATACTCAGATTTTCATTTCTGGGAAGTTTAGCTCTCTGTAATGTGAATTATCATATGAGAGGAGCAAGACTGCAGAAAGGAGATTTAGGAGACCTGCAGTAGTCCAGGCAGAAGAGGACTCGTGCTCAATGATAGGGACAGTGGCTGAAGAAGAGGGAGTCGGTCATAAGTGGGAGCTAAATAATGTGTACACATGGACATGGAGTGTGGAATAATACACATTGGTGATGAGGGATGAGAAATTACTTAAAGGGTACAGTGTATATTATTTGGGTGATGGTTACTCTAAAAGCCCAGACTTCACCACTATGTAATATATCCATGTAACAAAACTGCATTTGTACCCCTTAAATTTATACCAAATAAATAAATAAATAAAATAAGTTTATGGGAAAATAAAAGAAATATTTAGAAGGTAGGATTTAAATTTGTACAGGGCACGCTGTACACAACCTATGCAGAACCCTACCTCCAATGCTTGTCACCTCATTCTGGTGGAACTAAACAGCTGTCTCAAATTAAATATTTGTGTACTTGTCTTATCTTCTACGTTTCAAATTCTTTGGAGTTGTGTCTTTGGGTTTTCTATCACTTATAGCACCTAACAGAATTACACATAGTAAGCATTCCAAAACTGCTCATTAATGGTGATGCTTATATATAGCACGTACTCTGTTCCTGTGTTCTGAGAGCTTTGCATGTATTCATTCATTTAATTCTTAAGTGATAGTGCTGAGATTCAAACCCAGGTTGTCTGGGTCCAGAGTCCATGCTGTTAACCAGTATACCAAACTCAAAATTGGGACCACATTTCTTTAATACAGTCCAGCAATTGGTAAATTTAAAGCAATGTATAAAATGTTCTAATACCACAAGATTAAATGTAATACATTATTTGATGTGTGTGGAACAGCTAATGAGTTTGCTTTCTAATGTTTTTGTTTTAATTCTTTAGAACCAATTCGAAGATACAAGACTTACCACAGTGACATCTTTAGTACCTCCAGTGAAAGTCCATCTATTATTTCCTCTGAATCAGATTTCAGACAAGGTGAGATAGATCTGAAACAAGCAAAATGTTGTTTTTAAGAAACCACAATTATCATTCTTCTTTCAGTAGTGTTAAATTATAAGTTGTCAAGAAGAATAATCCATATAAAATTTTATATTGTAAAAAGATGCCATTTACTCATAAACAGCAGTTTCCTCAAACAACAGTGTAGTCATTTTCATAGTGGAGGTAATAATCCATTGTCTTTAAAAATAACATGACTTATGCAAAAGAGTTTAATAAAATAATGTCATTAATTTGGTTCTATGAATATGATTTGTACAAATATATGTCTGCTAAATGCTTGAGTTTTAAATAAGAATTCTTTCATATTTTTATGACCTGCATCATTATTTCTTTTTTGATTCATAATTAGTTAGAAGAAGCGAAGCCTCAAGGAGGTTTGAATCCAGCAGTGGTCTCCCAGGGGTAGATGAAACCCCAAGTCAAGGCCAGTCACAGAGACCAAGGTATGCATATGAAAAAATAGTAATAATGTATTTCCAGTGACAGGTGTTGGGGATTTTCTTTTATTAGAGTCAAGTAGTTTTTTCCTTCTCCTCTTTTTCATTCCTTTTATTTTTTTCATTTTCCTTTTCTCTTCCTTTCTCTTAGCTCCCTTTCTCTTTAAGTTCTCAGAAATTCATCTAATTACATGACAGACAAGGTACTGGAATCTTTTAAAATCAGAATTGGCTCTGGTTATTTATAGTTTGTGCCTGATTTTTAAAATTGTCAATATGAATATAAAATAACAGGAAGGTGAAAGGTGGCATTAAAAATCTGTGAGAAGATAGTAAACTTTGATTTCTAAGAGACTAATACCTCTTTTGAAAGGTTGGAAGAGGCTCAACCAGCAGGCTTTCAGTGAGTATTTATTTGTTGAATGAATAATAAGTAGCTTACTACTAAGTAACTATTATGTAAAAAGTTAATTATTTACCATTACTATATCTTTTCTGGTTTAAAAGCGGTTATCTGGTATTTTTTAAAAGCCAAATTTAAGCTGTTTAGAGTTCATTTTCATTCCGAAATACTTAGCGAATTTCTTATAAGGTGTTACTGTCATTCTTGTGCTAGAGTGAAGGTGGTAGTACTGTAGCTGTGTGTTGATTTACTTTGTTTAAACTGAAAGGTGTCCAGTCGGTAGTGATATGTGTCCTTGTCACGTGTGCACAGGTCTCTTCCACGATCAAAAGATGTTGTTAATGCTAAACATTAATTTCAAATTTGTATGTGATATGAGAGGACTAGAAGTTGCTTCAAATTTACTCCCAAAGTGTGGGAATCCTTTTAAATTCTATATTTCAGTTGATTTAATTCCAGTGCCACCAAATACAAAAGAATCTTTTGGAAATTAACAAAAATTTGCTCCTTAGCTAATTAATTCTGCCTGATACCATTTCACACCTGTAAACTATCAATAGATAGTACCCATAACTGGGCACAGTGGCTCACACCTGTAATCCTAGCATTCTGGAAAGCCAAGGCAGGAGGATCTCTCAAGGTCAGGAGTTCAAGACCAGCCTGAGCAAGAGTGAGACCCCCATCTCTACTAAAAATAGAAAAAGTTAGCTAGGCATGGTGGCGCACGCCTGTAGTCCCAGCTAATCGGGAGGCTGAGGCAGGAGGATGGCTTGAGCCCAGGAGTTTGAGGTTGCTGTGAGGTAGGCTGATGCCATGGCACTCTAGCCCGGGCACCAGAGCAACTGTCTTAAGAAAAAAAAAGACATATTTTTCAAACAAAGTTAAATCATTTTGTGAGCCTTATTTTGATTTTCATGATGAGGAACCTCAAAAGTGTCAAGATTATAAGAGAATCTTAATTTTCACTGTTTCTAGATTTTATTTACAGAAATACTAACATTAAGGCCACCTTAGTTTGTCAAATCTGTGTTTATACTTTGTGGGGTAAGAAAAACCTGTGCGGTGTTCATAGCATCTGAGTTAGATATAGCTATAGGTAAAAGAAAAATATTTCAGGAAGTGGATTTTTAGGTGTATGTATGTATTGTCTTAACGTAAGTTGTTAAACTCTACTTCTTTTAACTATTTCCATCTTTTTTCTGCCCACAGAAGTACACATTAGCTAAAATATTGGCTACATTCCTTATTCAAGTGCAGAATTTTCTGAATGTGTACAAAGGTTCCTGATAATATTCTTAACATGCTGGTACATAATGAGGAGGTCCTGTTTTGTTCTGTAGGTCACATATTTGTAAGATCTATAAATACTGCGGTATTTATACATGTTGCATGCTTCTTTATAAAAATTTCCATTCCCTTTAGCTAGAATGAAATGGCAACACAGATCTAGAGAGTGCTATTAATTTGTATCCTGGGGGGGGTGGAGGGAGATTAACAGGAAATTGAGTCAGATGCAGCAGAATGAGTAATTTTTGTATTCTGAGCTATCAAAAGTGTCTTTCAGTGACCAAAAAGGATATTCAAAGCCTTTTCCAAAGAGAATCTCTAAGCCTTTTTATGTGTTAGCTTTTGAAGTACAATTTATACATAGTACATTCCCACTGCTTCTGTGCCTCTCTGCTTGTTGAGGTAAGCTTTTTTTTTTCTGACTCCAAACAGAGTCAAAGTTGTTTTTGTTTCTCAAACTTTTCAGTACTTTCAGAAACTTCTACCAGATATTGTGTTGGGAGAAATAAAATAATAATCATTTTTGCTACCTGTTAGTAGCTCTGGTGTAAAATAATTTAAGCAAGAAGACTAATACACTTGGTAAAAATAACAGATTTGAGTTTAAACGTATGTATTCAAGTTCTTATTGTCCATGAATCCTTCCCCCTTACGTGAGAGTGAGCCATAAAATTATGTGCAGTTATTCATTCCACAAGTAATTATTGAGCACCTACCATGTATTAGGTACTTTTAGGTACTGGAGATAGAGTTATGAACAACACAGCCCCCGGGTGACTTTCTAGAGATGAGAGACAGCCAATAAACCATAAAAAAAAGTAAGTAGTGCATATAGTGATGGTGCTTTGAAGAAAAATAAAGCTGCCTAAGGGGATAGGAAGTATAGGGATGTGATGTCCAGATTCTATTTTATATAGGTAATATGATCAGAGACTGTCTCTCTTAAGGGATGACTTTGAACAGAAAGCTGATTGGAATAAGGAAGTAATCTATGCAGATATCAGCAGGAAGAGTATTCAGACAAAAAGAACGGCAAGTAGAAAGGCCCTAAGGTATAGGAGATGTGTTGAATGTTAGAGGAATAGCAAGAAAGGCAGTGTGGCTACAACAGAATGAGTTGAAAGGCAGAGTGGATGGCAACCAAGTAGCCAGGACCCAAATCACGTCAGGCCACAGAAACTAAGGTGAGCACTTTAATAAAAGGCGAAAGATCTATTCGTTTTGAAGAGAAACCAGAGTATAGGTGAGCACTTTCGATGTTATTCTAAGTGTAATGGGAAGCCAGTGGATGATTGTAAGTATGGAAAGCCATGATCTAATTTACATTGTGATGGGATTACTCTCGTCTGTTCTTTGAAGAACAGTTTACAGAAGTAAAAGACCAGTTAGGAGACAGTTACAGTAATCCATTTGAGATGGGTACAGCATAGACTGTATAATGCAAAGATTCTTCTCAAATGAAAAGGTAAAATTTGTTTAAATTCTTGCTACCTTACTTAACATGTAGTTTTCCTAATTAGCCTTAAAACAATTGTTTTCTTCCCAACCCTTACTTTTCTCCTCTTTTCTATATAGCAGACAATATGAAACACCCCTTGAAGGCAACTTAATTAATCAAGAGATCATGCTAAAACGGCAAGAAGAAGAAATGATGCAGCTGCAAGCCAGAATGGCCCTTAGACAGTCTCGGTTGAGCCTGTATCCAGGAGACACGATCAAAGCTTCCATGCTTGACATCACCAGGGATCCCTTAAGAGAAATTGCCCTAGAAACAGCCATGACCCAAAGAAAACTGAGAGTAAGTTGATTCTCAGGTTACTACATTTAAACTTGCTCTCACAGGGAACTGTTTGGCAAAGTTCTTTGAAAAAATTGCTATAGAGATCCTAAAGTAGCCTGTAGATAAAATTGAAATCCCTTATTAGTTTCCATTGGGGTTAATTATCTTGTTGCTTGATATTAAAATAAATATTTAGCTGTTTTTAATAAATTTCTTAATATTAGAAAATAATCCCCCACACTACTGAATAGAGCCAGTTGATTTTAACGATCATGAATATATTTTTAAAGTATACAGTTAAGATACTCTAAATCCATATTTCTTTTCTCATGTAAAATATCTTGCGCATTTTTAACTTCTGTAATATTATTAGCACTATAAAGTACTTCATTCTGTGACTTTACCATGTACTATAATTTCTTTAATCAGCTTCCAATAATTGGACATTTAAAATGTTTCTAATTTGTTGTTAGTGCTGTTGAAAGCAATGCTCTGATGAGCGTACCTGTACCTAAATCTTTGCAGATAAATTCCTCCAAGTAAAATAGCCAAATCAAAGACATTTTTTTAAGACATTTAATACATATTGTCAAATCGCCCTTCCAAAAGTCTGTACCAATTTATGCTTCCTATAGTCATATCATGCCTGTTTTGCCATATCCATAACCTACTTTGGATATCATTGTTTTTTATCATCACCAATTTAATAGGTGAGGCAGCATCTCATTTGTAATGTTACTTTAAAAATAATTCTTCAAAAGCAAAATAAATATTAGTAAAAGAGATAAAATCTAGAATGAGGTTTTTTTCTTAGTTCTGCACTAAGAAAGTATATCACCTTATTCTGTTTCAATTTTTGTTGATTGCTTCAAAGAATTATCTTAGAAGCACATTGGTACGCCCTGAAATTGATAGAATTCAAATTTGCTTCATAGTATTCTAAGGAGAAAAAACCAGTATGGGTACTGAAAATCGCATTGAACTGCAAATTGGAAGACTTGTATTCTATTCTTTATGGTGTTGTTATATGGCTTAATGTAAAATTTTAAACCTCTTCGTGTCTCATTGTGTTAATGTTGTAAAAAATGTGGGATTGGGTTGTAATTTATAAGACACTATCCAATTTTAAAGTTACTAGATTCCAATAAAATATAACTGGATTTATTTTCAACTAAAAGGAAGAAATTCAATCAGGCTTCATCAATTTATTATTATAACCAATATCTATGTTAAAAGTAAACAATAGGTTAGATGTCATACAAAATAGTGTGGGCTTCCAATACAATAATTAAGTGAGCAGCATACGGGGCGCACAAACATGCACACCAAACCAGTTTCAGACAGCTAACCTAGAACTTTGGTTCATTTGTAATTTGTAAATTATAGCTTATACCTTTATAGTTTTTTTCCTGTTTTCCTTTTGGCATAGACACATTTTAACTTGTTCATACCCTGTTGCCCTAGTTGATCATTATTAGATTATGGTCTTCCCATAGCAGACCATTTCCATTTTTCCTACTCTGCTTCTATTCTTGTTTAAAATGTGCCCTATTGGTTCATTGAATATTAACAAACCCTTAATGTTAAACTTTTACTTAAATGGTATCTGTCACATGTTCCACCCTCAATTAATTGAATAGAATTCCCACACCAAGCAAGCAAATGAGCTGTACAGGCAAATGTGAAGAAGAAACCAATGAAAACAAAACTCCATTAATTCAAACATATGCACACATGCACCACCTGCCTTTGGCCTCAAGATTAGTCTTTGTTTCATTGTACCTTTTGCCCATTTGGACATAATCTTGTAGTCTTTTCTCAACCCTGCTCCCACTTGGAGTCTAACTTGTTTAAAGTTATCTCCTAAAGTAATTCCTTCCTCTGACCAAAACCCTTGAATATATAATACAAAAGGAAAGGGAAAAGGTAGATTGAGAAGCAATAAATGCAGAGCTTGGGCTCTACTTTCCCTGTCCCTTGAGTCCCTCCATTTCTTGAGATATTTTTCTTGCTGGTGGCATTGATGGGGGTCAGAGACTACATGTGATACATATACTATCCCTAGTTATCATTATTTGAAACAGAAAGTGCAGTGTCATAGGGTTCAAATGATTGCAGATGTATATATATTTTTATAGTCACAAAGTAGATGTCCTCTAACTATAACCTGTTTTAGATTGAATATCACTCTTTAAAACAATAAGATTCTGTTCAATCACTTCATACATTTGCAACATTAAACCAAATCCTCATATGAGCTTGATAACTCTATGTTACTTCAGTAAGTAAGACTACTATTTTTTTTTTTGAGAGTCTGAGTCTATCTGGAGGCCAAATAATGAAAATCCTGTGAAACAGCATAAAGTTAGGCATTATATTTGACATCACTGGTTAGAAAACATAAATGAGGAAAAACTTCTGTTAAAAGTTAGCATAAGGTACATTCCATTCCTGTTCTCATTAAATTCCTGTGTGCTTTTTCATTGAAAGTTTCAGCATTTATTTTAGATCACCTAGTTCTAATGTGGTGGTTTTGTATGTAATTTATTATTATTGCATTGTTTTTCTTTCAAGGAAAGAGCTAGAATAAATATTAAAAACTATTGATTCTACTTATGTGATTTTCAGAATTTCTTCGGCCCTGAGTTTGTGAAAATGACGATTGAACCATTTATATCTTTAGATTTGCCGCGGTCTATCCTTGTAAGTAATAAAACCAATTTGTGTCACTCTTAGGAAGTAATTTCAGTAATTCTGTTTTTAAAAAACCAATTAAAATTCTTATAATGCTTATTTGAATAAATGCCATTTATTTTTTTCAATTGCAGACCAAGAAAGGGAAGAATGAGGATAACCGAAGGAAAGTAAACATAATGCTTCTGAGTGGGCAGAGACTGGAACTGACCTGTGATACCAAAACTATATGTAAAGATGTGTTCGATATGGTCGTGGCCCATATCGGCTTAGTGGAGCATCATTTGTTTGCTTTAGCTACCCTCAAAGGTACCAAGAAATTTTAAATTCAGAGTATAATATGGAAACTTGGCAATAAGCAGACTCCCTATACCTGTTATTATGCCCAACCTCATTTTGGGAAATATTAACTAAATAAACAAGTCAGCATTGAGAAGCAGAAGTGAGTTAGGAACTCCCTTCCTTCTCCTAACTATGTTCATTATTTTAATAGCTATGTTTGTTAGGCACCTTCTGTATCTGACTATGAAGTGGTTTTTTTTGTTTGTTTTTTGGCTATGGTTATATAAAAATAGATTTTAAGCATTATATTTTAGGAACCATTTTATGTTAATTGCCTATATATATATACTCTAGAAATTAGTATCCTAATATGAGTCTTAATATATAGCAGGACCCTATTTCTGAATTTCCACATCAACTTCTTTAGCCCACTATCCTATAACCATAGTGTCTTTTTAAAATGATAGTTGATAACTGAAAATTAGTCATTTCATATATCTTTTAAACATTTTTAAGCATCCACTTAACTTCATGACATTCACAACTACAGTAGTTTCAGAGCACAACTTCAGTAGAAACCTCTCCTATTTACCAATTATAGTTGCCATAGCAATAAGAAACTCTTTGGAATCTTCTTTCTTTTATAAATCATTATATTTATAAATTACTCTTCAATATTTCAGATTCCTGTTTACCTCAAAATTTAACTTGGAAAGCTTAGACAACAAAGTACAAAGTACAAATGAGAATTGAAGGGTCAAATCATTCTGAAACTCTATAAGATCATGATAATGTTTTCTTTATCATAAAAGAAATATTTTGTTCAACATAGCTTAGTGAATTCATGTGCCTTAAAAAATGAATAATTCATTTTTTAAAGTCATCTAATGAATATTCAGGTAGTACCTACTGATGTTCTATCACTTTGTTAATTTCACTTTCGACTAATCAGGTAATACTATCTACATAAAGATAATCCATTAATCAGAATTTGTATTTATAATACACCTAATTTCTTAAACATGCTGGACAAAGCAGATTTTATTGAATAATCTTTTTATTTGGTGAGGCAATAATAGTTAAAAGATGACATTGAAAAATAAAAATAAAATGATGACTGTCATTCCTCCTAGGTTTCAGCTGATAGATCAATAATAAATATAAGTTAATATTTATTGAATACTTACCATGTACTATGTGCTTTACCAAGTGTTTTATATCCATTGTCATTTGATCCTTATAATAACCCTATAAAACAGGAATTATCACTATCCTTATCTTATTGACAAGAAAATTGATGTCTAGAGAAGCAAAATAATATATTCAGTGTCATACAGATAGTAAATGATGTGGCCAGGAGTTGAATCCTGGCCAGTTGAATCTATCTGGCCCATTCTTAAAAGATGGAGCCATGTTGCCTCCCATCTATATGCAGTGCCTCGGAGCTCTCTGCCATACTTCTCAACAGTCTTGTTTTATTCTTGTATGATACTAGTTTGTGCAAGTCTGGCCAAAAATCAAGAAATCAGAAAAAAAAAACATTAAAGTATTTTTTACTTTATCCGAATGTTTTTCTGATTCTGTTTTAGATAATGAATATTTCTTTGTTGATCCTGATTTAAAATTAACCAAAGTGGCCCCAGAGGGATGGAAAGAAGAACCAAAGAAAAAGAGCAAAGCCACTATTAATTTTACTTTGTTTTTCCGAATTAAATTTTTCATGGATGATGTTAGTCTAATACAGTGAGTACACAAGAGTTTCTCTTTTGCTCTTTTTGACCACTGGTCTTTTGATCCTTTAGCATATTGATAACTGAATTATTTGATTCTGATCAATGATAATGTCTTCTTTATCATAAAAGAAATATTTCTTTCAAAATAGTTTATTTAATCCTATGCCTTAATAATAAACCATCTTGAAAACTAACCATATATGTCTATAACAAAAGTCACTTTAATATTCAAGATCAAAAGCCTAGATGCTTGTGTGTATATTTATTTTTTCCAGACATACTCTGACCTGTCATCAGTATTACCTTCAGCTGCGAAAAGATATCTTGGAGGAGAGGATGCACTGCGATGATGAGACTTCCTTGTTGCTGGCATCCTTGGCTCTCCAGGCTGAGTATGGAGATTATCAGCCAGAGGTAGGATTTATGTTTTTCTCCAGGGCCACTTTTGTATTGGTGCTCTCACATTTGGTGTAGTTAAGGACTAAACCTGGTTAAGGTGTTTGACATTTAGATGTGGAGATTCTCGAGTCTAGTTTGGTACCTCAGAATGACCAAGCATCCCGTGTATATTGGTTATATAAAATCATGCAGTATGGATTTTTTTTTTCTATTTAAAGTTACCCAGTTTTGGAGTTTAGGAATATGTAACACTTAGCCCTCCTTCTCCCAAGTTCTAACTAATAGAGACTAGACACAAGAGTTATTAGCCAAGTATGAATTAAAGGGATCTTCTACCATCCACATGGATCCACATTGTTATGGGCTGGGAACCTAGCAGAGCTCACTACGTGGAGAACTTGCTGTATGTTTACAGCCTAATGCTCCTAAATACAAGTGATCTAAGAGAAAGCAAGGGGCGAGAGACTGTGCCCCTGGAGCGGCATCCTTCGCAACATTCATCCTAAACTATAGTGATATGAGACTCTTGAATGTCACTCTCCACAAGCTTGCTAATCAGTTCAGTCATCAACCTCACTAAAAGACTGATACATGTTCTCTAAAACTCATTCCTCAGAGAGAGAAGTAGAAATACGTAGAAGTATTTTATCTCTTGGCTGAAGCACAAACTATAAGATAGGAGGAAGAGAGTTTATTCCAATAAAAGGCAAACAGAATTGCTTACAGAAATATTCTCCTTTTTAGGTTCATGGTGTATCTTATTTTAGACTGGAACATTATTTGCCTGCCAGAGTAATGGAGAAACTTGATTTATCCTATATTAAAGAAGAGTTACCCAAATTGCACAATACCTATGTGGGAGCTTCTGAAAAAGAGACAGAGTTAGAATTTTTAAAGGTAAGTGTGCAAGATTACGAATGATAAGCTTTGTATCTTTTTCAAAATAAGCAAAAAGTGTTGGAGGACACATACAAAAGCCCAAGTGCCCATAACTGAAACTGCATTATCTCATGTCATTTATTGCTCACCGAAACTGTGGTATCTTATTTCTCACTTTATAAAAGAGGGGACTCAGTCTCAAAGAGGAAATGTAATGTTCCCAAACTCAGTGGCTAGTGTAGGGGGCAAAACTATGATTTGAACCCATATCTATCTGGCTATAAATTCTATGCTTTTCTCATGTTCCATACTCTCAAAATCAAGATATATTATAAAAAAGAAACAATTGAATTTGGCAAATGGCTGGATGTGAGAGACAAGTTCACACTGATTCTAAAATTGTTTTGTTTTGTATTTTCTCAAAGGGCTTAAAACTCATTTGCACCCTTTGAAAATGGTCTTTCCACTAACTGCCAACTAATTTACACAGGGGTAGGAACTCAGAAAAATTGATTTATGGTTACAGTTCTGCCACCAGCTTCCTATAAGACCTTAGATAAATAGTAGTATGTTTGTCATCAAGAAAAATAGCACTATGCAAACTTCCAATATGAATAACGAATATAATAACATAGTGTTCCATTGAAAAGAGAAACTTTTAGAACGTTCTCTTGTTTCAGCTCCCTAGGATATAAACAGTATGCCTTCCATTTGCTGCTCCATTTGCAAGGAGCCAGGTTTCCCAGCCCTATGAAAATCTACAAAAGGGTTTGATTCACATACTTATACCACCTTTAATCTAGGATTCGTGGTAAGAAAGCCAACGTGGTTTGTTTTGTTTGAGTCTAAATTTAAAGATATTAAATTATGAATTTATGTTTTCCTTAGTTACTACATTTTTATTTTTATAATAAATATCAAGTTATATTTTTATTAATAATGGTAGAGGGCAGATTGGTACAGTGAAAAGAATCTAGGATTTACAGGCAGACAGTCTTATATTTGAATTCTTCTTTCAACTGGCTGGGTGACCTTGGACAATGTATTGCTAGGACCTAAGGTATGTATATGTTTAACTCTGTAAGAAATTGCCAAAATGTTTTCCAAAGTGGTTCTACAATTTTACAGTCCTACCAACAGTGTATGAGAGTTCCAGTTGCTCCACATCCTCAACAACACTTGGTATTTTGAGTCTTTTTCACTTTAGCCCTTGAACTATGTGAGTAGTGGTATATTATTATGGTTTTAATTTGTATTTTCCTCATTACTGTTGAGCATCTCTTCGTGTGTTTGTTTGCCATTCATATATCTTCTTTGTTGACATAGCTAATAAAAAACCTTTTGCCCAGTTTTCTATGTGGTTATGTTTCCTTACTGTTGAAAAGTACATGTTCTTTTTATGTATTCTGGATACAAGTCTTTTATCAGATATATGTTGTACACTGATTTTTCTCTCAGTCTGTGGCTTCCCTTTATATTTTATTAACATTGACTCTTGATGAGCAAGTTTTTGATGTTAATGAAGTTTTCAATTTTTTCTTTTATGGTTCGTGCTTTTTATGTCCTATCTAAGAAATTTTTGCTCATTTAAATTACTGAAAGTGGCCGGACGCGGTGGCTCACGCCTGTAATCCTAGCTCTCTGGGAGGCCAAGGCGGGCGGATTGTTTGAGCTCAGGAGTTCGAAAACAGCCTGAGCAAGAGCAAGACCCCGTCTCTGCTAAAATTAGAAAGAAATTAATTGGACAGCTAAAAATATGTAGAAAAAATTAGCCAGGCATGGTGGCGCATGCCTGTAGTCCCAGCTACTCGGGAGGCTGAGGCAGGAGAATCACTTGAGCCCAGGAATTTGAGGTTTCTGTGAGCTAGGATGATGCCACAGCACTCTAGCCCGGGCAACACAGTGAGACTTTGTCTCAAAAAAAAAAAAAAAAAAAAAATTACTGAAAGTACTGATGGTTCCCAACTTAAAACAATTCCACTTACAATTCTCAACTTTACAATGGGGTTTTTGGGGTATTAAATGCATTTTTGAATTATGATATTTTTGACTTACAATGGGTTTATCAGGAGGTAACCCCATTAAAAGCAAAGAAGCATCTGTATGCAAATTTACTATGCATACTTTTGGGTCTCAGAAAAAATGCCCCAAAAAGCATGGCACTTTGGTGTGCTGAGCTCTGAACTAAAATAAAAAGGCCTTAGAAGCTGCCACAGAATCAAGGACATTCTGACTTCTCCTGTCCTTTCCCCCTCCCACTCCCAGCACAAGCTTAGATTTTACTTTAATATTCCCTTAGCTGCCTTAAAACCTGACCCACCCACAATTGCCTTCTGTCCCCTCCTGAAACTTTGTTATCTATTCTAGGAAAGGAGACTAAGGAATGTAACTGCATCTGGAGGGACTTTGTTCTGCCTCTTCGGCTCATTCAGATTCCAAAGAGAAACATTTATAAGTTAATATTTCTGTCTTCCAAATCCGTTCATCTTCCCTAAAATCATTTACTATGCCTCTAAAAATCACCTGCAGCACCTCTCCTCCATTTCCCTCTCCCTTATAGGAGGGTGTTTAAACTTCAACCATCTGGCTCCTCTTTGAGTCTCATATTTTATATGACTTCCATGTTTATACACATTAAATAAATTTGTATACTTTTTTTTTTTTTTTTTTTTGAGACAGAGTCTCACTCTGTTGCCCGGGCTAGAGTGCCGTGGCGTCAGCCTAGCTCACAGCAACCTCAATCTCCTGGACTCAAGCGATCCTCCTGCCTCAGCCTCCCAAGTAGCTGAGACTACAGACATGCGCCACCATGCCCGGCTAATTTTTTTTCCTATATATTTTTAGTTGTCCAATTAATTTCTTTCTATTTTTAGTAGAGACGGGGTCTCGCTCTTGCTCAGGCTGGTTTCGGACTCCTGAGCTCAAACAATCCGCCCGCCTCGGCCTCCCAGAGTGCTAGGATTACAGGCATGAGCCACCGCGCCTGGCCAATTTGTATACTTTATTCTCCTAAAAAAAAAATGGAAGAAATTTTTGCTCACCCCAAGGTCACAAAAATTTTTTAAACTTTTTATTTTTAGCTCTTATATTTAGGTCTGTAATCATTTTGAGTTAAGGGTCAAATCAGGGTTGAGATTTATTTTTTTGGCCTGTGAATATCCAATTGTTCCAGCAACACTTGTTGAAGCCTATCCTTTCCACATTAAACTACCCTGGTACAGCTTCAGTATTTTTGCCACCATTTACCAAAGTGCATTGCTGTGGTGTGGTTTTGTTCCAACAGGTCTGCCAAAGACTGACAGAATATGGAGTTCATTTTCACCGAGTGCACCCTGAGAAAAAGTCACAAACGGGAATATTGCTTGGAGTCTGTTCCAAAGGTGTCCTTGTGTTCGAAGTTCACAACGGAGTTCGCACATTGGTCCTTCGCTTTCCATGGAGGGAAACCAAGAAGATTTCTTTTTCTGTATGTCCATTTAACCTCTTTTTATTATATTTTTGAATAAATGTTATTGATTTCCCATGTAGTGTGTTAACTGACTTCCTTGAGTAACCTTTAGACTCTGTCATTCAGTAGAGCTAATATATCTTACTACAATTTAACTCGGCCTTCTTAGTTGTATTAATAGGAAGTATTGTTGAGATTTTATTTGTTTGTGGTTTTTTTCAAGAAGTGATTTTTAAAAGAGTATTACACATTCCTAGCTGGTTATATGCTCAATTAACTTTAGTTAAATTACAACCAAGTTGAATTCTCTGTTGAGTCAGAACTTATTCTAGGGTCATAACTTATTACATGGAGAAATCCCCTTAATGTTTTTAAGATAGATAATTATCTTAACTCCAATGAACTTTGTCTAGCTCAGTAGTAGATCCCTCATAACAACAGTTATTTTAATCTCAGCAGTCCAGAGATTTACTGGATTTTATTAACTAGTCCCAGGACTTTCTGTCTTAGATTTTAGTGTATACTGTCTATAGAGATAAAGTTAGAAAAGTGATTTGTAGAAAATATGTTCGTGAAACAGCTATAAAAGCATATTTTGATTTAGGACATAGTTGGGATATCTGAACATTGAAGTACCGTTAGCAAACCCCAGAGGTGAATCAAAAATATGTTTTGATATTTTTTCCTTATGGTATTCAGAGACTATTGATACCTTTAGTTCATATTTGGGCTGAAATATGCTCTCACCGGAACAATTTTATAAAGATATCAAGGTCCTGAAGGACTCTGATTAATCTTCAACCTAGAGACCTTTGAAATCAGTTCTAGACCTAATGTTTAGTTAGTTGGTTTCCTATGAAACCCAGAAGTACCACTAAGATAACCAGATAATAATATGTTCTTCAGGAAAGCCCATACTACTCTTATCTTCCCAGGATTGTCAAGACCAGGAAATTACCTGAACTTCATTTACCTTCCCCTAGTGGAAATACTGGTAGAGCTAGTATCTAAAGGAAACTTTAAGTACAAATCCAATTTGGACAACTTTTGAAAAGGCAACAAGTCAAGTAATCAGCATTCAGCTCTATGTCATTTGCCAAGCTACTACACCCCCTCCATACATAGAACTAGGCATGATTAGTCTTTAAAGATCTGCAGTAATAGAGAATAGATCACATTTCCTCGTAAACCATTCCTATATTGAGCAGCATTCATTTGTCCTGAAGTTCTTTCTCTAACACAGAGCTCTCTTTTTTGACCTTCCTTTTTGTCTTCTACTAATTTCTGGGGAGAGAGAAGAGTCACCCTTCAACCTTCTCATCTCTCACAGTTGAGTTCCCTCAGGCACATTTCCTGTCCAGTCCATCCATTAACAATTAGAATCAAATATTCTATTTTTTTTCAAACATGTGCATCTTTCTTAGATATTAAATCATCTATAGTATCACTTTTCATAATTATTATGAACCTCTAACCTATCTTTGGCATTTTTGTGTGTGCGACCTTTCCTGCCTTTGGGTGTTTTATTACAGGTACCAGTTCTGTAGTTCTTTTGACTGATAGACTAAAAAGATTCTGTCCTTCATATTAATGCTTGGACCAGTGAGAGAATTTTGCAACTGTGGAGTTCAGTGTCCTTGCAAATTACTTGACAATGGTTAAGTGGTAGGTTTGTTAAGAAAAAAGATTCCTCAACTGTTTGAAGAGTTACTAGGTATACTACTGATTATCAAGATACTAGTTTGAAGCTACTCTATCTTTAAATGCTCTCTAACACTTACTGATTACTGTTTTTAACAAAGAAAACAGGTTTAGTGCTAGAGATTTCATTGGCCATAGTATCTAGCTAGATTTAACAATGTTATTTTGTTTCTATTATATTTATTATATTTAGTTTTATAGCCAAATTCTATTTATGGTAAGTGGTATTGGTTTTTCTATTTATAGTGTATTGTAAAGTTTCCTTAAAGTGAATTCACTGAGTAAGGAAAGTCAATTGAAAAGTTTCTAAATAATCAAGACCAGAAATTATGAAGATGATACCTGCATGATTGAAGTTTGGGTCATATTTTGTCATTGTATCTTTTGTAAGCCTACTAAATATGACTTTTCTGTGCCTATTTCTGCAAAGTAAAGACAAGGGATGTGAAGCAGAAAGAATAGTCTGCAGAGTAGCCAAGAACTTAAGTACAATCTAACTGGACTTGAGCAATTCTCCAGAGACATCAGTCTTAGATCCCTGGCATGTTGAACACTAGTCTTTTAAGGCATGTGGATTATCTGCAAGCCTCACCATATAGGTCACAAATTTGGGGATGCCTTCTTACATGAGAGACATTATTTTTCAAGAAATGTCAGAGAGATGGCTGGGCGCTGTGGCTCACGCCTGTAATCCTAGCACTCTGGGAGGCCGAGGCAGGCGGATCGTTTGAGCTCAGGAGTTCGAAAGCAGCCTGAGCACGAGTGAGACCCCGTCTCTACTAAAAATAGAAAGAAATTAATCGGACAACTAAAAATATATAGAAAAAATTAGCCGGGCATGGTGGCGCATGCCTGTAGTCCCAGCTACTCGGGAGGCTGAGGCAGAAGGATTGCTTGAGCCCAGGAGTGTGAGGTTGCTGTGAGCTAGGCTGACGCCACGGCACTCACTCTAGCCCATGCAAAAGAGTGAGACTCTGTCTCAAAAAAAAAGAAATATCAGAGAGATAAAACAGATTTGTGATTCTCCTACTTTCCCTATATTTGGCAAAAATATCAATGGATTTTATCTCTCAACCCAGCAGTTACATTATCCAGTACCTGTCCATTCCCACATTTTCTTTAAGTTCCCACAACTGTCCAGCCTTCATGCTACCCAAACTCTACTTAACCGAATCACAGCTCTAATCATTATATATTATTTAAACAAAAATTCTTATTGAACTTCAGGGTTTTTTCTTTAACCAATAGAGTGGAACACATATTTCTTATCATCTCTTTTTCACAAGTTTTGGTATTTGTAAACCTTGCCATAAACTCAAAATATGAATAATCTTATTAAAGGAAATTGTTTCCCTTGCTGATGGCTGGTATATACAATCTGATTTAGGCTACGATTTTTTAAAGTGCAAATAATATTATTTTAATTTATTTCCTGAATTTGTTTATAATAATACAGTCATGTGCCACATAATGACTTTTTGATCAGTGATGGACCATGTATACAACGGTAGTCCCATAAGACTAAAATACTGTATTTTACTGTACCTTTTCAATGCTTAGATATGTTTACGTAAATACTTACCATTGTGTTACAGTTGTCTACAGTATTCAGTACAGTAACATGCTGTACAGGTTTGTAGCCTAGGAGCAGTAGGCTATCACATATCATCTAGGTACATAGTAGGCTATCCCATCTAGGTTTGTGTATGTACACTCTGTGTTTGCACAATGACAAAATCACCTGACGATGCGTTTCTCAGAATATGTCCTCATTGCTAAGCAATGCATGACTGTATAGGATTATATTTTCTATATTTATATGAGATGTAGGTAAAAAAACAATGCCTAATGGGAAATATAAATAATATCTCTACTTATTAATAGAGTATAGTATTTGGTCATGTAAAAAAAGTTATAGGAAAGCATTCTAATTTTGAATACCTTTGATTAATATTGTAGAAAAAGAAAATCACATTGCAAAATACATCAGATGGAATAAAACATGCCTTCCAGACAGAAAACAGTAAGGTATGCCAGTACCTGCTGCACCTCTGCTCTTCCCAGCATAAGTTCCAGCTACAGATGAGAACAAGACAAAGCAACCAAGATGCCCAAGATATCGGTAAGGAGAAGCAGACTATTTCAGATGTTGTCAGGGTATATGCACAATTTTTGCCACAAATTTTAAAAGAACTACCATGTTTAGGATAAAAACTTACAACATATATACATGTGAAATGACTAAGTCAAGACTATAAAAGTGTCACAAATGAAACTAAGATTTCAATTTCATGCTCATTTTAAGAAAAGCACCCCAGATCACTGGGGCAGTACCTGTTGAAATGTCTATTTTATAATGTAAACATTATAAAAGTTTGGGCCATGTAACATCTATCCACAGTAAACTTACACACTATTTGGGAAGGTAAGACCAACATATGTGAAACAATAATACACAGTAGAGGTTCAAGATTTTAGTAACAGATTATATCATACAGACTTGATCATCCATACTACGAGAGAAGAGAGAAGTCAGAGGCTAGAGTACTGGAGAGATGGCACTTGAATTGGATTTGAAAGACAAAAATAATTTAAGTAGGTTGGAGATAAATAGGAGGGCTTTCCAGATGAGGGAAAGAACATGGGAAACAAGGCAGAGGACAGGAAGGGTATGCACCCAGGTGAGTGAAGAGACAGACGGCACATTTATGTGGGTGACAGATTTACCTACCACCTGTTAGTTTTACTTGAGTGCATCTCTGTTCTGAGATTGAGATGAATAATCACAGCATCCAATGTAAATGGTCAGGAGAGTGGTTTCACTTTCTTTTGAAAACAGGAGCCAGTAGAAGAAACTGATTTGGCTCCCAAAAAATATCTCAGTCAGAACTGAAATATTTAAAGCTTACTCTGCAATTAAAGATTAAAGTTATATAAAACCCAGTTCTGCATAAGTAAGTTCTTATAGGCTTAAGCAAAACATTCTGAAGTGTATGATTAAAAAATTTAATGGAATAGCACTGATGAGCTTGTGCAGCACAGCCCTATAAATTTTTAATCCAAAATTTCTGGCCGGGCGCGGTGGCTCACGCCTGTAATCCTAGCACTCTGGGAGGCCGAGGTGGGCGGATTGTTTGAGCTCAGGAGTTTGAGACCAGCCTGAGCAAGTGCGAGACCCCGTCTCTACTAAAAATAGAAAGAAATTAATTGGACAACTAAAAATATATAGAAAAAATTAGCCGGGCATGGTGGTG